TAATGGCGGGGTCTAGCTAATAATAGAAGGAGAGATTATACTTTATGAGTAAGTTGTAATTCTTACAACGTATTTCTATGTGGAGACTGTACTGAGGCCATCTACAGCCTCTTTTAGTTTATACAGAGTATTTCTGGGATTCAGAGTTCATTAAAAACAGTGTTTGGTCCTGGCTGCCTTGAGAGAAAAGATCTTAAAAACTTTGATTGGAAAGGCCCATGCATAGGGCATTGACTTTTCATATCTAAATGCCTTGGTGTGGTCTCTTTTCATTTCTGTGACTGAATGGTGAGCAGACTGAAAGAGAATGGAGTTACAGGACTTGGGGAGAAGACTTGTGTCTCAGAGATGACTTTAGTCACCTCAGCTTCTGGACTGAGGAACGAGGAATTTACAGGACTCATGTCTTTCTAATAAGTTAGAGTCAATACAGTAACTAACAAATCACTGCTGTCAATTCCTAAACACAGTGACTCTGTAGGACAGGGCAGAACTACTCGCCTGGGCTTCTGAGACTGCTAGTCTTCATGGGAGCAGACATTGAGTCTAATCCAATGCATTGCAACTCTATATAGGGTTTCCTAGGCTGTAAATCTTTATAGGAGCAGAAAGCCTCAACTTTCTCCTAAGGAGCAACTGGTGAGTTTGAACTGCTAAACCTGCAGTTTAACAGTCCAACACTTATGCTACAGTACCACACCAGGACTCCTCAATGCACTATGCTACTGTTAAATACCAAAGAATCAATTTGACTCATAGCTACCCTGTTTCTGAAGTTGTAAATTTCTACAGGGGCAGAAAGTCTCACCTTTCTCCTGTGGAGCAGCTGGTGAGTTCAAACTGATGACCTTGTGGTTTATAGCCCAGTGCTTATTGTACAGAGCTATTTACTATGCCCTCTGGTAGCGTACTGGTACGAATTGGGCTGCGAACCTCAGGGTCAGCAGTTTGAAAGTACCAGCTGTTCCACGGGAGAAAGATGAGGCTTTCTGCTCCTGTAAAGATTTACAGCCTCAGAAACTTTGTTCAGGGTCGCTATGAGTTGGAACTGACTCCACAGCATGTAACCACCACCACTCTGAACACATGATCACCATAAGTCAGAATCGACCAGATGGTAACTATCAGTAACAACAACTAACTGTTAGTTACCTGCTGCTGGACATGAATGGAGAGGAAAAAAATTGGCTGTCCTTGAACAAGTTTCTGCATATTTCTAAGGATTATGAAAAAGCTCAGAAGTCACAAAAACATGGGCAGGGGTCAGGCATTCTAAAGAATAAAAGTAATACAGTGGTCTTACAGACGTTTTCATTGAAATATATTTCACCTGGACAAATTTATATGCTGTATTGTCTATATTCACCTACAGAATATGAGCAACAATATTCTTACAAATAACTTAAAAACAGATTAAAAAAAATATTTTAATGTCTAGATTCCAAAATAAGATCTTGCCTTGAGGTAATAAGCAATGTGGCACTGTAGGATAAACACTGGATGAGAACCACAAGGTCTGTCGTTCAAACCCATCCGCTGCTTTCGGAAACCCTATATAGGGTCACTGTGAGTTGGAATCAACTCAATGGCACTTAACAACAAGGTGTTCATTGGCTCTCCACTGCACAGATCGTTTAATATGCATTTAATATACGAAGGAGGAACACTGGTGGTTCCGCGGGTTGAGTGTAGAGCTGCTAAGTGAAAGGTCATCTGTTCAAACCCACAAGTCATTCTGGGAGAAAGATTTGGCTGTCTGTTCCCATAAAGAGTTTTATTTGTGGAAATCCTCAGGAGAAGTTCTACAGTGTCCTGTAGGGTCACTGTGAGTCACAACCGATTCAGTGGCTGTGCGTGGGTATATGAGGGGTCTTCAAAAGTGAAATTAAAAAAAAAAAACCAAGGAATATTTACATGAACTATTAGAAGCACATATTTTGTGAAAGTCAAGAAAATGTTTAGACTAAGCTGTATTAGGTATTAAAAAACAACAAAAAATCCCAAATGCTGGTGTGGATGAATCTACTTAATCTCAATAGGGATCCAACCTATAGGACAGAATAGAACTGACAGTGGTGTTCACAAGACTGTAAAGGTTTACTACAACCTTCTGGTCAACAGCCCAGTGCTTAACCTCTGCACCACCAGGGATTCTTCATAGGCATGACAACTGAAAAACCCAAACTCCATTGCTGTGGAGTCGCTGACCAGATTCTAACCTTATTTCTGCTAGTTACTACCTGTGTGACCTCTGAGCCCCAGTTTTCTCCCTGTAAGTGGGGGTAATAGTAGGGAATGCTGAGAGGATTAAATGAGTTAATTCATATAAAGCTATATAACCCAGACCATAATACATTTTGTCGTTGTTGTTATGAGTCCTTACGGACTCATAGCAAACTTATGCACAGCAGAACGAAACACTGCCTGGTCCTGGGCCAACCTCACTATTGTTGCCATGCTTGAGCCCATTAATACTGACATTTTGCCAATCAATCTCACTGGGGGTCTTCCTATTTTCTCTGATCCGCCACCTTACCAAACATGATATCCTTCTCCAGAGACTGGTCCCTCCTGACAATATGTCCGAAGTATGAAAGATGAAATTTGGCCATCCTGGCCTCCAAGGAGCACTCTGGCTGCACTGCTTCCATTGCAGATCTATTGGTTCTTTAGGCAGCCCATGGCAGTTTCAATATTCTCCTCCCACACCATAACTCAAAAGCATCAATTCTTCTACGATCTTTCTTACCCACTGTCCAGCTTTCACATACATATGAGGTTATTTAATATACCATGGATTGGGTCAGGCACACCTTAGTCCTCAAGCTGACATCTTTGCTCTTCAACACTTTAAAAAGTTCCTGTGCAGCAGATTTGTCTAAGGCGATACATCATTTGATTTCTTGACTGCTGCTTCCATGAGTGTTGATGGTTGATCCAAGAAGAATGAAGTCCTTGACAATTTCAATCTTTTCTCCATTGATAAGAAT